TGGCAGATGAATTTCAAAGTGTGAGATGATACATTTTGGTAAAGAGAACATGGAAAGACAGTAAAAAATAAAGATTACTACTCTGAAAAGTGTGCAGGAAATTAGAAACCGAAGTGTATATGAGCACAAGTTCTTAAAGGTGGCGGGATGTTTACAAGAGTGGTTAATAAATCTTTATGAATAGGAGCATTTGTTAATTGTTTATTAAGGCTTTATTAATAGGGATATAGAGCACAAGGGTAGGAAGGTTAAACTGAACTTGTATAAGACACTAGTTAGTTCTTGTGTGTATATCTGAGTGTCACACTTCAGGAAGGATGTGAATACATTGCAGGAGTGCAAAAGAGGTTGATGAGAATGTTTCAGGAATGAGAACCTTCAGTTATGAGGAAAAGTTGGGATAAATTTCCCTGGCGAGCAGAAGGTGTAAGAGAAATTTGATAGAAGTTTCCAAAATCACGAGGGTTGTTGATGGAATAGATGGGGAGAAAGTGTTCCCACTTAACGGCTTGAAAACAAGATAGTACAGATTTAAAATAATTTGTAAAAGAAACAAATGCAATGTCATAAAACATCTTTTTCACAAAGCAAGTAGTTAGGACTGGAGTGCATTGCCTGAAATGTGGTGTAGACAAGTTCACTTGAGGCATTCAAGAGAGTATCGGATAATTATTTGAATAGAAACAATGTTCATGGTTTTGGGGAAATGGTACAAAGTTCTAATGCTCATTCAGACAGTCAGTGTAAATTAGATGGGCTGAATATCCTTGTTCTGTGACAACTTCCCTTAATATTTAATGGTGCCATCATCACAAGTGCCCCAGCAGCCACGTCTTGGAGATCATATTGGTTTGGAACAGAACTGAACTAACCATTGTTGTCTGGAACAAGTGGCTGCATGGAATAAAAAGATTCCTCAAAGCAGACCTATCCGCTCTACCAAATTATGATCCAGGATATTTGGACAAAACTTCATCCTTTGTTATTATCCATTAGTCATTGTAATCATCTGTATCATCACGCCAGCACCTTAAATTATGAAAAAAGGCCTAAGGTTTTCCAAATCTTAATTTAAATATGTACAGAACGATGAACTGATCATCCTATACTGTATACTCACAGATATTTAAGAGATGGAGTTGAATGTTATAAACTGGGGGCAGTGGATTACATACAGTTTTCTGCAACAAGGACCTCATGTCTGCTCTTTGACTCTCATGAACCCAAATGATCTGATAACCTCTTGCACCTTTGTTGCCAGTTATGATCTGGCTCCACCTGGTGGCGAAATTTGTGATTACAAGATGATAATATTCCATTTCCTTCTAAATATGCTTGTGGTAATCAATACACTGGAGCTGGAAGAAAACAGCAGGTCAAGTGGCATCAGAGGAGCAGGAGAGACAACATTTCAGGCCTAAACCCTGCCCTGTTGAAGGGTCTAGGCTTGAAACGTCAACTCCCTTGCACCTCTGATGCGGCCTTAACTGCTGTGTTCCTCCAGCTCCACATTATATTGACTGTGACTCCTTCCAGCTCCAAGTGCATTGATTCTCACTCCAGCATTTGCAGTTCTTTCTCCTCATGCGTGGCAATGTTTACATTATTGAAAGTATTATACATTGGTGTTGTACATCATAGCTGAAACAAGATTGTTCAGTCTGGGGAATACACTGATTTAAGGTAACTTGGAAAAGATTCTGTGCCATTTTTATTCAGCAAGTTGGATTGGGCAGGAATGTACAGATTGAAAGGGTGATGGAAGCAGATTCAACAATAACTTCCTAAAGAGAAGTGGATAAATTATTAAAAGATATTTTTGCAGGGATTTGTCGATGGAGCAGAGGTCGATAACTAACCAGATTGTTCACTGGAACAGCCAGGATGTTTAAAAAATGAAATTTTCTAATGGACACTGACAGTAGTAAAAATGCATTTCTCAATGATTGTTTGACGTTTTAATTCCATATTGACATTGTCATTTTGAAGGCATTCAAACCTTGTGGGTACAATTACATAGCACTGATTTTCTCTCCAATATCAATGAGCATCAGCAAACTATTTGACAATGAAACATAGCATTGCAGTTGATCCAATCACTGTTATCATGCAGTGTCCTCACACATCCAGCAACGTTTGCAGTATGGTAAACGTGAGCCAGCAACTTCTTCAGGTTTTGTTTGTCTCATTCTGAGCTACAATATTCAGACTACTTGCAACATTAAAATAAACTCAATCCTGTTCTTATATGACACTGAGGAAACAGCAGCAATCATTGATCTACCTCGAATGTGGTTTTGGATTCATGTCAGGCAAATTTATTTTTTTATTTTGAGGATTTGTATGTTGCAGCCCCTGTTTAAAATAACCTTGAATAAATTAGTCATCTTTGTAGTGCATGCTTGTCACCTCGACCAGTATCATTTCAATACTATCAGAAACTTGACTTGATAAGAGAAATAACAAGGAAGGGGATATATTTGAAGGATATTTGATAAGAAAGGGCAAGATCATTGAAAGTAAAACAGGTAATTAATGCTCAATGTTTTGAAAACAGGATGAAGAAATGGTCGAATAATATCAAGCCAGAGATGTGGCCCAGTCAAGTCTACATTAAAATTAGAAATCAAATTTTAAAAAAAAAATCACATTACTCATAATATAGAAAACAGATCAGAACTCAACTCTGAAGATTTTTAAAAATTCACTAGTAGGACATAGACATCACTGGCCAAACCAGAATTTATTGCCTATCCCTAGTTGACCTTGAGAAGTTGGTGGACCTGCTTGAACTGCTGCAGCCCATGTGTTATAGGTAAATTGACATTACCAATAGAGAGGGATTTGCAGAATTTTGTCCCAGTATCATTGAAAAATGATTTTGATCTAAGGCAGAACAATTTTTTTAAAAACCATCACATGTAATGATGATCTGGAAGGTACTGTCCAAACAGACCTGTCAACTTTTTAAAAAATAAACAAGATATTGGATAAATACATGGGAAAAGCTGCAGAGAAATAGAGATGTTGCACAAATTTTAAAGAATTAGTTGTCAGTGACCAAAATGGTCTGATTGTGTACTGTGCATGCTTTTGTTCCAAATTTCTTTATAAATACATTTTAAAAATTTGTTAATGGGATGTGGAAGTCACTGGCTTCACCAATATTTATTGTGCATCCAAATCTCCCCTGTGAAGGTGGTAGTGAGCTACCTTCTTGAACTGCTGCAGTCCTCAGAGGTGCAGATACTTCCACAAGGCTGTTAGGTAGTTGCAGCACAAGTTGCAGGATTTTGACCTAGTGACACATGAAGGAACAATGGTAGAGTTCCAAGTCATGGGGTGCGGCTAGGAGGGGAATTTCCAGGCGGTGGGCTGCTCGTGTACATGCTGTCTTTGTTTCTCTAAGTGCTAGAAGTCACAGGTTAGGAAGTCACCACAGAAGTCTATTGAACGATGGCAGTGAACTTTATAGAACACACTGCCTTCACTGTACATTAATGAAGGGAGCAAATGTTGAAATTACTAAAAGACTTTACAGTCCATATTTACAGATTCAGTGTCCTTCAACAAACTGACTTTTTGAATCATCAGAACTTCCAAATCCTAAACTCTTGCACTAATCTCAAAACAAATGTATACCTGGTTACCCACTTTCTTTGCTCTAATATAAAACAGGACAAGCAGGGTTCAATCTACATTTTTCAGTTTTAAAATCTTCACCTTGAAAATCAGTTATACAGCATTTTTTGCCTTCCCACCATAACTATGTATTTTTGTTTGTTTTGCTTCAATCTACATTTCTAGCAACCTGTAAAGTGTATGTGCATGTAAACAGTGTAAATCATGTGCAAGTTGTTAAATATACATCTTCATTGACAAGCAAACTTTGCCAAAAGCTTGCTCTACCCCAACCCCAAAAAGAACACAAGTTTATTATTTATTGATTTACTATGAAATCCAGTTTACATAGGTAATTATTACAGCAGAAGGCATGAGCCGAGACTAATACACAATTCAGGCTCTGTACTCCTATTTTGCAAAAACTTGGTCCATTCATTTAATCCTCTCTCCATTTTTGAGGGGTGATCTTGCCAACAGGAGACAAGTTCCATGTAAGGCCAGTCTGTGTTGAAACCTACATACAAACAGAAGCATGTAAGAAACAAAAAACAAACAAACAAACTACAAAATGTAGCTAGTTAAATTTAAAAGTCTTTCTAACAGCAAATTCAACTCTAGCAACAGAGTTGGGAACAAATCTGCAGGTAGTTTAGTGATCAACAAAAGTAGGAGTTTGATTTATTTTATTAATTAAAAACCAAAGAGAACAGCAGATGCTGTCAATCAGAAACAAACAAGCAATTGCTGAAAAAGCTCAGCAGGTCTGGCAGCATCTTTGGAGAGAAAGGATTTCTGAGGAAGGGTCACCAGACCTGAAATGTTAACCCTGATTGCTCTTCACACATGCTGCCAGACCTGCTGAGCTTTTCCAGCAATTTGTGATTTTTAAAAAATTGTTAGATTAAGTGAAGATCAGAATATTGGGCAAGGGGGCAGAAATACAAAGCAGCGGTTAGACCCCAGTTAGAATTCTGCATTCAGTTCATAGAAACTAGGAGCAGGAGTAGGCCATTCAGCTCTTCAAACCTGCTCTGCCATTCAATATAAATCATGTCGATCCTCTCTAAGCCATATTCCTGCTTTCTTCCCATACCCTCTGATGCCTTTAATATCAAAAAGTTCTCAATGTTTTAAAAAATATGCTTAAGTGTGTGACTAGGCCTCCAACAGCCATCCAAGATAGCAAACTGAACAGTTCTGAGCACCACACCTTAAAGGATATAACAGCCATGAAGGGGAGCCTTACAGACACACAAGAATGATTAAAAACAAAATATTGCAAATCCTAGAAATCAGAAACAGAAAATGCCAGAGAACAGTATTAAAGACAACAAACAACAACAACCAAAACTTAGATATAGATCAACCATAATCTAACAAAGACAGAACAGGCCTTGGTCCTGTTCCTGGCATAAATCCTTCAATGGCTTGATAAGAAAGATTGAACGTCCAGATGAGAAAAGCAAGTGCGTATTTGGGAGTTAATGCTTCATATCAATTCAGAAGTCCTTGATTAAACTGCTGTCACATTTACGGACCTAACTCCTGCAATGTAATTTGGCTTGCAGGGAGAATGTCACCTCTGTTTTAATGGGCGGGGTGGGGGGGGCGGAGGAAGAGGAGGAGGAGGAGGAGGAGGAGGAGGAGGAGGAGGACAATTTTTAAATAAATAGAACATCTCTTTCAGACATGCAGATACCTCTGGAGGTGGTATCTGGAGGCCTTATAAAAATAATCAGCATCTGATAGTTATGTGAACAAAAATAGAATATTGTTAGAAGCGTTTTGAAGTCAGATGAATAACATCATGAGGCAAATCTCTCATGCTCAGTTGAATTTTTTTTAAAAATTGCTACTGCTGCTTCAGCAATTTCACAAGCAAGGGACACATTCAATGCCTGCACTGTTGAGTTGCCATAAAATAGTACCTAGCACATCACCAGCTCACAAGTGATAGTGACCTAGCAGTCCATTGTTGACTTGGATGATGTCTCAGTTACTTGATTTTGAAAATGTAGAAAAAAGCAAATAGATGATCACTACTAAGTTAAAAACTTACATAACTCCAAACTACAACACAGAATGTCAGTCCTCCCAAAAGGATAGCATTTCCATATTTGTCATGGAAGTCAGGACCAGTCTTGTGGTGAGCCCGTCTTGCTGCAATTTGACGAATGCTCCGACCTAAAAAACATAAAAAGATCACCAATAAATACCAAATTCTTTTTGACTGCAATTATTCAGCTTCAGAGACAATTGTTAATTCTACAGCGAGTGCATTCATCTGAATTTGAGGTACATCACATTTCAGTTGCATTGCAGGTACCACTCAAAATGGTAGGATTCAGAATGATTCACCAACTCTAAACTACAGATGTGGCAACAGTGATTTAGCAGATATCACAAATCTCAACAGACTGAAGTCAACAGAACAGTCAATAAGATATTTCTCAATGAAATCAACATGTCATCAGGTCTGATCTTAATGATGCACTGAAATCTGGAAGGAATAAAGCAGGGTAATATCACTTTTATGCTTAAAGCAAAACAAAATGTCAACAAATGCTCGCTTAATTAGGAACATCTACATTAGAATTGCAGTCCCTGATGTTATACTTAAGTGAATACTTAAGTAGGAAAATAGGTCAAGAGCTTTTATTTTCTCAGGTCAGAAAACACCTGTAAAACTTCCAAAAAATATAGATGGTCGTCAACTTATGGATATTTGACAGTAATGAGATCCCATACAGGTGTATTAACATTAATTTAAGATTTGATGTGAATGTTTCCTTGTACATAAAAATGCCGATTTATACTGTGCTCCCAATTCTGTACAAGTCAACTTGTGAATGTTCAACAATGGAACTCATTTGCAACCTAGGATCTGCCTGTATGTTATTAAATACAACTGGACTTATGGAAACAATACAGCAAGTGATTTTTGCCGAGTTTAAAATACACCGCTTTCACAAGATCTAATGCTTGGTTACCTGTAATTTCTGGTTCACACTAATTTGATATGAGTAAGAGATGTTCTTGAATACCAGGAGTCCAGAATCAGGGTTCACAGTCTAAGGATAAGGGGTAGGCCATTTAGGATTTGGACAAATAAATTTCTTCACCCACAGTATGGTCAGCTTGTGGAATTCTCCAGAGAAAGTGGTGCAGGCCAATGTTTTCAAGAAAGAGAGATAGTTCTTTGGACTAAACGAATCAAAGTATAGGGAGAAAACAGAAGTGGGGTACGGAATTGGATAAGAAGCCATGATCACATGGTACAGTGAAGCAGGTTCAGAAGGCCTACTCCTATTTTCTACATGTCTATGTAATTGCCAGGAGCATAATGAGTGTCACTGCACAACTGCAAGTTACTCAGTGCAAAATAATCAAATTCTGTTTCAACTTATCACAATAGTCATTGCTGGCATTTCTATCGAGTTTGCCATTCTGCTACTAACAAGTTAAGACAAAGGTCAAGACTGTTTGCCTTTTACAGCAGAAGCCTTTCAATAGTTATTATGGAGTGAACAATTTACAAGCACAAATGCAATATAACCAGTGTGCAACAGAATCGTTTTTCTTCCACAGCTACACAAGGAGCCATAGTTTACAGTAGAAGTTAGATAACATCCATGCTTCACAAACAAAACAGATACCATAACTGAAATCTATTAAAAAGTTCTATTACAGATGGTCAGGATATCCCTTCTTCACATGAGGTGTTCCATTTTGTTGTGTGGCACTTCCACTGTGCTAAGTGGAACAGGTCAAAAACAGCAGCTCCACAAGGTGCTATCAATCATGAGTAACAGTAATATTGTACTCAGCCACAATCTGTAACCTTATTACAAGGTATATCCCTCAGTCTAGCATTACCAACAAGCCAAGAGATCAACATGGCTCTATAAACAGTGCAGGAGGACATGCTAGGAACACCACCAGGCTCACGTCAAAGTTGCATGTCAAGCTAGTGAAGCTACTACACAGGACAATTTACATTCCAAACAATGTGATCGACAGGGATAGACCAGCCTCACAATCACTGGTTAGATCAAAGCTCTATAATCTTGCCACATCCAATCATAATGGCGGTGGACAATTAAACAGAAGGAGGTGGCTCCATCAATGATTCCACTCCCAATGATGGAGAAGCCCAGCACCTCAGCACAAAACACAGGTTGAAGAGTTTGAACCCTGCTTCAGCTAAGTGTTCCCTTGACTTCCTCCAGAGGCAAATAGCAACACAAGTGCTAGTCTTCAGTCAATGCACTTCACTCCACTTGATAAAAGCAAAGGCACTGGATAGTGCAAGATTTAAGACTCTGACAACACCACATCTATAGCACTGAAGACATATGCTCCAGGACTCTACACCCCTAGCTAACTCTTCTACATACACCTCCCACATTGGCTGGAAAGGTGCCAATATGTCCTGTCCACAAAAAAATCATGTGAAATTCAATTTGATTGATTTAGTCATCAAATGTAGCAAGATAAATTGAAAAGCGTGGTTTTGCTTGCTATACAGGCAGATCCCCATACAAAGTACATCAGGTTTGTAGAACTGAGTGCAGAATAGTGCTACGGAGGAGGAGGAGGAAGAGGAAGAGGATCAGAATTATAAAGGAAGTTGAATGGAGAATAAATTAACTCAAAGAGGGTAAATAACCTTTAAAGAAACACAAAACAAGAGACAAGCTGCATAATGGTGCTTCTAATATACAGCTTTAAAGAAAAAGGAAAACACAGTTTCTACTCAGATGATCAAGCACCAAACATAAAGAAAGAACCAACATTTCAGAAATAAGATCTTGACCTGAAATATGAACACAATTGGTAAGCTTTAAAATTTCCATCTTCAATAAAGTATCAGTTATAGCTCTTGCAACTTCCAACTCAAGTTTAAAATTCCAACAATTAACATGATAACACATGGCCACAGTAACCATAGCATGAGCTTAGGCTGGTCTTTGGCAACTGCTTCTTCAGGATCATCTTCAAAAATCAACTGATAAAGACAAACAAAACTATTCATCATTTCAGAAGGGTTAAGGATACATTTCAATTCAGGAAGCAGAGCGTAACCTTTTCAAAATATACCAGGGTAAAAGGACCCAGGTCCAGCTTTCCAAGGGAAGAAACATCCCAGGAAATAATACTCCCAAAGCTGTAAGCACAGATTGCAAAAAGGCAAATTCTGGAAGATACCAGGAAGCATCCCTTCACCCAGGTGGAACTGTACTACAAAAGATGCTGGTGTCTTACAAACTAAACGCAACAGTTAGAGACTGTAATGCAAAGTTAGGACGACTGGAATTTTGAATGTATAAATCAAACGGACTAAAATAAATCTTGACACCGAAAGCAACCTGGGGAGCTAGTACAACAGAACCAGACAGCCCAATACGTCGAATATGACTCTACTTATGACATACACTAAAAGCACAACAAATTACAACTTGGATGCTTTAAAAGGCACAGGAGATGGTGAGATAGTTGGATTGATTAATGAGAAAACAACAGAGAAACAGATACATCACATTCACTTTACATATCCAGCCGAGATTATTTTGCCGGGTAAGCCTGCATTTAAACTAAAGATTTCGGAAGCATTAAGTGGTTTCCTTTCCGTCAGTAACTTTTAATCACAGGCTCACATTCTCCTCACCAGCCTGTCCGCCACTACCCTTACACCTCTGCCTTATCTCCGCATTGCTGGTGACACGCAAATCCAAAACCTTTAAAACTACACTACATTTAAAACCTGAAGACAGATGCAGCAGCACGAGCAGGACGTGGACCCAGACCGGGACCCCGTTACCAAGCAGACATTTATTTACCCGTTAGGGAGAGAAGACTCCTGCTCAAAGGCACCATCTCTTCAGCACGCCCGTTTACCCTTCAGGAAAACAAAATGGTGGCCAACCAGCAACCACGCCTGCGCCAGCGGTCCGGCTTTTGACTCTGCAGATCATTTTTAAATGAAATTAAATTCACCACCTATCACGATTTGTAATTTAAATCGATGAAATAAAAGTACGGGGAAAGTATATTTGAAAAAATGTAATCATGGAAGGAATTTTTTTTAAAATGAGGGGAGAAAGTGACGCATGCGCACTTGCGTTTGTAGGCCAACAGCCCAAGAAACTACAGCCCCCAGAAAGCAGTGCGGCCCGCTCCCGTTTAAATCTTTCATTAATCTTTTACGTCTGGCGCATTTTCTCAACCACAGCGTGTTACTGCGAATAATATTAATGTTAAATGTTTGAATTCCATGGGAGTGAAGGGATTCTAAATATTCCATGTGTCACAGACCAAGCCAACAGACTTTGTGAATTAAAGTCAGGAACAGCCGCATTTCTGTCGAAGGATCGGCGGCTGCGACCGCCGTAAATAAAAAGCCCAAATGAAAAATAAAAAGAAACATCACAAGAACACTGAAAATATAAAGGCAAAAAAAGCTGCCTCGCCTTTTTTACTTTATAAAGCGAACTGTCAATAGCTTTCGCATCAGTGTCAGGATGGCCGAGTGGTCTAAGGCGCCAGACTCAAGGAGTAAAGTCCTTCCGCACAAAGCTGGGTGTTCTGGTCTCCAACTGGAGGCGTGGGTTCGAATCCCACTTCTGACACACTTTTTTTCCTATTTTTGTTTTTAAAAAATACATCCTCGTCAATAAATTAAGCTTTTGAAAATTAACCAATACAGATCCGGCACAAATATTAACCTTTTCAGGGCCTATCAGTTAACACTCAGTCGTATGATGAGGCTGTCCCTAAGCTAATTGTGATTGCATTATTGTAGAGTAGCGAGCTGCCAATTTCACGAGGTTATGCTAATCCTTCCACTTCCCAGTCCGGAAGGTCACCCTTCACTCTCCAATCGCTCGCACTGAAATGCAATTACAATAGCACAAACAGTGCTACTTGTTTGTGCTGCTATCCATAGTAAGGTTTAGAGAAAGGAGCAAATGCCCAGAATTTCAAGTTAAGTGACTTCAGACACGAAATTAGAAAAGGGAGGAACGCCAGAACCAAAACAAAGAATACCCAGCAGATCTGGTTAGCAGCAAAGATCGTTAATTCCTGTAAATTTCATCTTACAAATATCCCAACGCCAAGTTTCTGTCAACCTTGTGCAGTACTTTCTAATAAAATAGACGTAGTTGCTGGCTACCATATTTCTGTCTTGAAAGTGATGGTAATCACCACTGAACATGGCATCAACCCAAAGAATACTTCTTTGTAATGAATTTGAGATGTAAAGTTATTTCCGATTTATCTTTCTTTCAAGGCATTTTATAAACTTACGGAGTTAGAATCTATCAACAACAAGGTGCAGAGCTGGACGCACATAGCAGGCCAAGCAGCATCAGAAGAGCAGGAAGGCAGACGTTTCGGGCCTAGACCCTTCTTCAGAAATGGAGGTTTAGGCCCGAAACGTCAGCCTTCCTGCTCCTCTGATGTTGCTTGGCCTGCTGTGTTCATCCAGCTCTACACTATCTTACAAGAGAAGCTGTTGTCTTAACCACTTGTTTGTTGTTTTAATACAAAATAACATTGATAGTAACATTTCTTATCCAGTACCGAAAGACAACGACAGGTGTCAGTAGACTCGAACAGGTGCCCATAATATTTCAGATAGATTGCCTTTCTTTAAACTGTAACGAGCCTATTCTTTAGATTTGTGGAATATCTTTCAAATGTTCGTTTCATTTGCAGAACAACGATTCATACATGAACAGTAGCAAAAAGTGGCGCAGCGTGGAAGTCTGTCCATATCACATACAACAGACTAAGTGGGTGTCAGGATGGCCGAGTGGTCTAAGGCGCCAGACTCAAGGAATAAACTCCTTCCACTATAAAGCTGGGTGTTCTGGTCTCCGAGTGGAGGCGTGGGTTCGAATCCCACTTCTGACATGAGCTTTTTACATTCATCACTGGGAAACATGTCCCTATTCTCACTGCCAGTATCAACTCATCTCCTGGGTTCTGATTATCTTTCTCTGTTCTGTTCCTACTACCAAATATATTAAAATTGATCCAATGAAATGTAATGTAAGCTTGAAGAACATTTCATGTTTTTGATAAGAGGTTTGCAGCTCAACTTTCAAGTTCAACAATTTAAAATTCAAGAATTGACACGATGATCGAAGGGCCTCTTTCTGTGCTGAAATATTTCTATGACCCTCTAAGATTATAGCTCCTGCCCCCAAGGTTGCAAGAAATTGTTGATCTGGTGCAAAAGTTGACCCTAACATTTGGCCCAGAAATAATTAATTTTCCATATACATCACATATAAGTCGACCCTTAGCCCAGCCCCATCCTGTGTTGTTTAGTGCATGTCAACGCAAGAAGTTAACACAAAATTCTCATTGGAGTGCACTATGTTCCTACCCACTAATCCTGACCTCTAACATGGCCATGTGGTATCAAGAATAATCCTCAAGTACACGGTCCAGTTGAAACTCAGAGTCGGTAAGATTACACTGCAAATAATTGTTCAGTAGCGAGTGAACTCAAGATATTGGAGAAAGCAACAGAAATTGGATGATGCTGTCTTCACAGATACACAGATGGTCAAGAATAAATGTGGATAAAAACCAAAAGGATTGCGGATGATGTTCTGAGGAAGGGTCACCGGACCCGAAACATTAACTCTGTTTTCTCCTCCACAGATACTGCAAGAATAAATGTGAGGTTGGCAGCAGCAGTCCATAAATGTGGAACTGGAAGAACACAGCAGGTGATCCACATGTTTGGTCAAGACTGCCTCACCTAGCCAAACTTGTAAGTCACGGGACCTGACCACGCGTCAACCTCGCCTCGTACCCATACAATGCCATTTTCATGGTTCCAGCCCCAAACTTCGCCCCAAATTAAATTGTCTCTCTCACTTGGAGGAGGCGTGTGGCTGGCATTGGCGTTTCTTTGGCTGTTTCACCCTCCCCACTAGGTCTGGGAATAGCAGGTTTAACCTGGTGTGGAGTCTTCTCCCCATTAACAACTCTGCCGGAGCTATGCTTGTTGTTGCATGAGGAATGGTCCTATAATCGAACAGGAGCTGTGATAGTTTGGTATCAAGTGACACTTTAGGCTGCTTCTTCAAGCCTACCTTCAACGTTTGGACTTCTCTTTCCACCAGACCATTGGATGATGGATAGTGTGGAGCTGTCCCTACGTGCCGAATGCCATTCGACTTCAGGATATACTCAAATTCCCTGCTGGTAAATGCTGTTTTATTGTATGTGACCAATACTTCCAGGAGTCCTTGTATCACGAACAATACTTGCAGTTTGCCCATTGTCATCCCTGACTTTGCCAAACGGACTTTATGCACATCCAACCCATTGAACGGGCATCCACAATGACCAGTAACATTGAGATCATGAAAGGACTAGCATAATTGACATGTAACTGGGTCCAGGGCTTACTTGGCCATTTCCATGAATGTGGGGCTGCTGCTGGTGGCAATTTTTGTCCTTGTTGGCACTCTGGGCAAAAAGTGGTGCAGCTTGAGAGTCTGTGTAATATGTCAATATTACACTGAACCACATCAAGCAGATGTCAGGATGGCCGAGTGGTCTAAGGCGCCAGACTCAAGGAATAAACTCCTTCCACTATAAAGCTGGGTGTTCTGGTCTCCAACTGGAGGCGTGGGTTCAAATCCCACTTCTGACATGAACTTTTTACATTCATCACTGGGAAACGTCCCCATTCTCACTGCCAGTATCATCTCATCTCCCAGTTTCTGATTACCTTTCTCTGTTCCCTTCCCACTACCAAATATATTAAAATTCTTCCATTATATTGTTCCTATAAAATGTAATGTAAGCTTGAAGAACATTTCATGTTTTTGACAAGAGGTTTGCAGCTGTCCGAACTCAACTTTCAAGTTCAACAATTTAAAATTAAGAATTGACACGATGGTAGAAGGGCCTTTTTCTGTGCGGAAAATTTTCTACGACCCTCTACTGCCCCACCAATGCAGCTGTGTCAGCATCCAACTCTGGCCACCAGACATAGCTTCGTGCTAGCATCTTCATCTTGGAAACCCCTGGATGACCCTGGTGGAGTTCGACCGGTATCTGGCAGCGACCTTTACTCGGGACAAACACCTTGCTCCCCCGAGTAATATGCCATCCTCTATGGTAACCTGGTCTCGCTGGGTGCAGAAAGGTTTCAGTCCTGGTTGCAATGGCCCTTCTGTCTCTCTCATCGCCACCAGCTGTTTTAGTTTTGCTAGGACAGGATTATTTTGTTTCCATAGTCGGACATTGTCCACGGTGACTGGAAGGGTGTCCAGGAAGTTTAAAACCAGAACGAACTCTCCAGGGAAGGCATCACTGGTGGAGTATCTGCCAGTAGTAGGCAGCTCAAGGCATCCGCATTAGCCACATGCCTTTCCGGACAGTGTTGTAACTTGTATGTGCTGAGAATAAGGGTTCACCACTGATTTCTACTGGAAGCTATGGGCGACACCACCTTGTCTTCTTTCAGTAGTCCCATTAGGAATCTGTGATCTGTTATTATGACTGATTTCCATCGGTAGAGACACTGGTGGAACTTCTTCACACCAAAGATGACCACCAAACCTTCCTTCTCTATCTGGGCGTATTTGCATTTAGCATCAGCTAAAGTCCAGGAAGCATATGCTATTGGGCGTTCCTCTCCGTTGAGCCACCAGTGAGCCAACACTACCCTGATACCAGGGAGGCATCGCAGGTCAGTACTACTTGTTTTGAATTGTAGTGGGCCAATACCTCAGATGACAATTGCTGCTTTTTCACTGCCCTAAAGGCTACTTCTTGGCTATGTGACCATTTCCAATGCTGACCCTTTTTCAACAGTAGGTGTAAGGGTGCTGAGATAGAGGCTAATTTACGTATGAATTCCCCGTAATAATTCACTAACGCAAGGAAAGACCTACGCTTCAGCACAGATGTGGGAGCAGGGCTCCTTTGAT